GAGTCCACCTACAAACACGAGGAGCCCCGCGCACACAGCTCCAGGACCCGAAGTTGTAATCGACGTTATTGTTTCCCTTCCGACCAGGAAAATGATAATGTCCGTTGATCCCGCGTTAATGGCCTATAATGACCGTCTCAATTAGAGGCTGACCAATTAAGATCAGACGACGTTTAAATTCACTTAAGCGCCGCGCGGGGGTTCCGCGACTCGCCGCGCCGCGCCGCGCCGCGCCACCGCGAGGCGTACGGTCCATAAGTTAACGCTCCATCTGTTCGGCGGGAGCTTTTCAGCTTTCATAGAGGAATGAATAGGGCAAGCCTGGCAACCGGCCAGACAGCAAGTAACTTATTATATCTGGCATTAAATTATTATAGAGCTCGGTCGACAATGGGCACGGCGGAGTGCATAGGAAACGATTAAACTGAATGACAGATCTAGACTGCTCCATTCGTAATCCACCGTTTGCCCGCGTTATATGCGCGCCTAACCGCTGGCTCCGCGTGTGTGCACACGCGGATGAGCGCGACGCGGTATTATCGGCGGCCCTGTTACGCCACGGGAAAAGATTATTTTCGAATAACTGAGGATAACCGATTCTCACGGTGCAGCTTTCTTTCGTGCTCGACACTTGGGCTGATACTTCGTTCGAATTTCGATGGCACCGTTCGAATCGCTCAGAAGCCAATGTGGTTAAGTCCGGAAAACCGGAATTGAGTGAATTAATGTTTTGGCTTCGGAAATTATTGTACATGGGCTACTAAGATAAAACCAAGTCCGTAGTTAGGTTGAATATATTTATTACGCGATGTGGCTCTAACTAACTTTTCCTTGACGCTTTTCTAAGAAGGAAACCTCTTCAGGTCCTGGTGGTCCCCTTGGTCATAAATTAGTCAATGGGCCTGCTCTATCTCTCGGGCCCACAAGTATCGATACGCAAAAGGGCGAACCGTCTACATACAGTATACTCAAAAGCTATAAAGAGAAGGGCCTTCTGACCTAGAAAAGAAAACGGAGGAACGAGTAAATGCTTTTATAACTGAAAAGAATATTATTTATTCCATTGAGGTTTACGAAAATCAGGAAATATCGAAGAATGGATTTAATCGAATTGACTTTTGGGCGACTCAGTTTGTACTGTCCTCCAACGAGACTGACACCTTTTGAAATTTTAACTTAAAATTATTCTCTCAGTTTAATTATTCTTATTCAATTAAATTTTGAGCGATTCCTACAGTTAATTTTATAATCGTTATTTCGTTATTATATATATATATATAATTATTATTATTATTATATATATTATATATATTATTAATATATACAATAGAGAAAGTGTTGCATTTATTCGTAATAGAAGAATAATAGAGAAATTCTTACACTTCTGAAAAATCTGTTACTTAAAAACGGACAACAAGGAATTTGTTAAATTTTTGAGTTAGAGTTAAATTTCGCACTGCTACTAAT